GTTAAAAAAAAAGGAATGTTTTTTTTTTTTTTTTTTTTTTTTTGGTGGTGGAAAAATAATAATAATAAGAAAATAATGGAAATAGGGATGATGCTCACCAACTGAGATGGATAATAATGAAATATGGATGGAAAAAAAAAGATAGAAAAAATAAAATAAAATAAAAGGAAGGGAGTGGGAACAGGAATCTGGAAAAACTCACCAACGGAGTGTTAAAATAAGGAAATTTCGAGAGAGAAAATGGATGATTTTTTTTTTTTTTAATGGAAAAAGAAAGATAAAATAAAAGAAGGAAAGTGGAGCAACGTGGGTGGGGTGCAAAAGGTGAAGATTGACTCAGTGGCTTCAGAAGAAAAAGAAAAAGAGGTATGGGTTTGTGCAAAAGTTGACATAGTGGGAGCTTTGGGTAAGAGAATATAATAAACATATACATAGAGATATATTAAAATAAAAGAAAGTTGAGTGAAGCATCAGTGCCGATCATGCGCCTGGGGACTTGACCAGTGATGGCCACGACGGGGACGCTGTCGAGCATTGCGTCGGCGAGGCCGCTGACTAGGTGGGTGGCGCCGGGGCCGGAGGGGGCGATGCAGACGCCGGGGAGGCCGGAGGCGCGTGCGTAGCCCTCGGCGGCGAAGATGCCGCCTTGCTCGTGGCGGGGGAGGACGTTGCGGATGAGTTGGGAGCGCGGCAGGGCTTGGTGGATCTCCATGGACGTTTCGTTGAGAACCAGGACTGTGATGGTCTCGCGACTGTTGATTTCGTCACAGAGCCTTGTTTGGGTGAGGTAGCTATTGAAGAGAGTGTAGTCTGGGAAGGAAGAGAGGATCTCTGTGATGTTGTGAGCTTTCATGGTGGGAATGGTGATGATGAGAGAGAGTGTGAGGATGAGGAAGATGAAGTGTCTTGCGCCCATGGTGTACGCTAGTGCCATGCAGAAACTGAAACAACAACAGGGAGAGAGAGAGATTGACAATGGCCCTCTCTCTATCACCCGTGGCAGTGCAGGTGGATCGGTGCAGAGGTGGTGGCTGAGAAGATGAAGCAAAGCCGTGGTTAGTGAGAAGGGAAATAGAGCTGTCTGCAGAGAGAGAAATTAGAAAATTTGGGTTTGTCCGGCGGGCGGCCAAGGCGAGGTTGCCGCCCGCCGGTGAAGCGGAATTACTAAGTTGTTAACCTAGCTCTGATACCATGTAAGATAAATTGATAGAGAGAGAATAAATTGTATGTATTATGAATAATGTATTGAATGTTGTATATTACAAATGGTGAGGGGCTCCTTATATAGGAGAGGGACTGAGAGTGGCCGAAGCACTATTATTACATACAGCCGAAAGGCTAACAGCACTAGCACTAAAGTAAGCATAAAGTAAGCATACATTAATATACACTAACATAAAATATATTAACAACCATAACATAAGTATTGTGGCTGGATTGAGATTATCAATTATCATGTAATTCGAATAAAACTGAAAATGTTATTGGCTATGAATGGTTTTCCAGACACGTTCTTTCTTGCGTATCAATTGTTTTTTCGTGTGTGTATAATATATCTGTCAACTGTTCATACATAGTGGAGGTAACCATTTCATAGGGAGACATGATAATTTGATTCAAGAATCAAGTTACTGGTAACACTACAACATATAAGACTTTTGGCGACCAATTATTTTGGTCTTTAAAACCATTATTTTGGTCTCTAAATGATTTTAGTGAAAAAAATATATTGGTCACTAAAAGTGCGTCTAGGAAAGTCAAAATTGACTTTTAGCGACGAATTTTCAAAAGTGTCACTGAAAATGACAATTAGCGACGAAATTTATATAGTCACAAAATGTTTGATTGTGCAGAACTAAACATTTGGTCACAAATACTTCATCTCCCCTAATTTGGTCGCAAAAAGCAAAATAATGACATTTTTAACCGCAATTATATTTGGTCGCTAAAAGATAAATAACTTTCTCTATCACACATTTTTGTCGCTAAAAATCAAAGTTGGGAATTTTGTAACCATTTAATTTCATAACTAAAAATGCACAAAAATTAAATGTCATCCAATAATATAGAAAAAGAAAAAATTGACATCCACACATCAAAGGCACTCTATTCCAAAACCATTGAGTATATAGAAAGTAAAATTCTACAAAAATTAAAACTCAAAGTTTCCAAATTCAAAATTCAAATCAAAGTAGTTCTTGTTCTCCTATTTCAAATGAAGAAGAGCAACAATTTCTTCAAAAGAAAATCTCTCAAAATATATCTTTGTCAGCTTCTTTGTATTCTTTCTCCTTCACATCCCTTTCAACTATCTTTGGCTTAGCAGAGGATGCCATGCCTTAATAACAATAAATTCCAAATGTTAAAGGAATTAGATTATAGAATAACTAGGAATTAGATTAAAGATGAACAAAACTGAAATTTGTTAGGCTCAATTTGGTTAGGATGAAAATGGTGGAAAGTGAAAGAAATGGAAAAAAGAAAAATATATTTTTTTGAGTTTGTTTAGCATGAAAATGGTGGAAGTTACAAGAAAGTTAATTTTCTCGTACAACTCATAATAGCATGGTAACTAAATTTATAGTTTCTTGCAAAACACAGAAAACTACAAGAAAGTTAAAATATGTTATAAAAGTAGTTAGTTATAATTAGAATTCCTATTTTCCTGTAAAATTTTCATCGTAATCAAATTTATACAAGAAAATATATTACTTTCTTTTCTTTTACTTCACTCTCTATCACTTTCACTTTCCATCATTTATTTCTTTCTAATCAAACGGAGCCTTAGGCTTCACCTTATTATAGTTCACAATCTTGAAAATGATAGCTGCAAATTCTCTGGGATACATCCGATATTCATTAGGGACATCTTTGTCTTCTTTGTTCATCTTGGATGATGAGTAATTTTTCTCTTGATGCTCTATATTTTGAGAATGATTTTAGCAGTTGGAAACCTCTTTACCAGCTACTAAAACTAAAAAATGAAAAAAGTTTGCTTTTCAAAGTTTTGGTAGGGAAATGAAGATGAGGACTAAAGAGCTTCTGCACTGTTACTGAGAAAGGATGTATTTTATTTGGCTAATGGCTGGAAGACCATGATTATTTGTATTTTGATGTTGGAGAGGGGTGTTGTGAAGTATTTATTGATGGCAAAAATTAGGAAGTGATGGACAAGTGAAAATATTTTGCTTCTTTTTTCCTTTCTTCAATGAAAATTGACTTCTTTTTTTTGTTTATCCTCTCTTTTTGTGCTCGTGGTCCCTGACTGACTTGTGTCTTAATTAATCCATAATCACCCACAACCCCGTGTTCACTTGATGGGCTGGGAATTGGGAAGAGTGAATACGTCAAAGTCCTTGAGCAAGAAACTTATTAGGTCACTAAGGACGAAGGGAAGAACAAGGACTGAACTCTATTGACTTAGGGTAGATGAAGGCCAGATTCAATTATTTAATTACCTGTATCGCCTACATATTTTTAATTAGTTACTTTCTCATGGAAAATGTGGATGGAGTAGAGGATCAAAATCTGGAAGCAAGGGTGGAGAGGATCATCTGACCCTAGCATGAGGCCAAAGTTAAATTGGACCCCCTTCCCAAAAATAAATGTTTCTCTAGCCAAGAATGTATAGAGTTTTGCAGTCAGCAAACATACATAGAGTAGGTGTTTAATTAGTGTTTGGATATATGCTTTCTTTGTTGATCACCACACCAAATGTACATGCACAAAACGGTATAATTTCTGAAATGTAATACAACTAATAGACATTGTTTTCTGTCAAACTACTTGAACTGAATATGATATGCAGCAGCGTGTAGAACATTTGGATATGCATGATCGTATAGATAGGTTTTTAAATTAGCAATTTAATTCTCTTGAACATGTAGATTAGTTAATTCTTGGGCCACTGAAATAAATTGATGGTCTAATGTATAAGTGGGCGTAAATATTTATTTTCTTGAATATGTTAAAAATTAATTAAGAATTAGCTACGGGACTGTTTAAAGATTTCTTGTTATGATTTTTCACTTCTACCCTGTGAACCTGTAGTGCAGTGACAAGCTTGGCCTTAGTCTCAAGTTGGATTCATTTGTGGCTGGAGTTATGATATCAACCACCGATTTTGCGCAGCATACTTTAGACCAGGTAAACTTCTTGGCAAATGTTTGCGGCAGTTGTCCTTCATGTTAAGATATCTAGCATGTTAAGGTAATTTGAACTTCTTCTTGGCTGAAATTTTATTCAACTTAATACTAGCAAAAAATTGCTAGAAAAAACCTAAAATCAATGAAATGGAGAGAGAGAGAGAGACAGAGAGAGAAGGGACCGAGATGTAGAAAGATAAGGAAACCCTAGGTTTTGATACAAGATGATAATGAGATCCATCCATGACAATGTGTAGGGCAATCGAACAAAAACGTGAACTACTTATTGTGTTCTTCATAGATCTACAATATATATGTATATATAGGCCGAGAAAGAAAGAGAGAGAGATAGAGAGACTCACCAAATCTGCAGAAAATTTGAAGAAGAAGATAGATGTATTGTGGATTGAAGCTTGTAGATCTCAAATCTGAGTTGGAATGAAGATATGCAATAGAGAGAGGGAAAATCTGAGATGGAGCTCGAGATAGAGAGAAGTTTCTTCGATGATGAGAGAGCGTTCCATCGAGCATCGTATTTGCAAAACTGAAAAAACAGATGTGTATTTGCATCTGGGGGAGATTTGTAATTTTCCATTATTTGGTCCCTAAATGCCAATAATGTATTCTCAACCAGATTTATTGGTCTAAAAAAGTGACGTAAATATTGCCCAAGTGCAAAAGCTAGAATATCAATAGTCATTTTTGAAAGTAATTTATCATAAGTTTAAATTTGTCCCTATGTCATTATTTTTAAAGACCAAATTTAATTAGTCTCTAAATATTAGTCTCTAAAACATTAATTTCTTGTAGTGTAACCTCTCTATCAAACCCTTTTGGGATGGGGATGAGAGGCGGCCCATAATGAGGGTGGTATCTTGGGTTTGTCTTTTGGTGGGTTTGAACTAATCCTGCTCCTCACTTCATTGCTTATAAATTAAACTTCGGTTTTAACATTTACAACTGACTTTCCACCTCACAACCAACATTTCCTAAGGCAAAAATGTGGAATCATTACATTTATATGAATAATGGAGGTGGAAAAAGTAACTGTAGCCTTAAGGTAAATGCATTTGTGTGCAGCCAAGGGCCCAAAGTTTGTTTGGGTGGTCCTGCTCTCCCGCTCTCAATTCTCAATTTGCAAATAGGGCTTGGAGCCATGGTAAATTTGTGGATTCCACTCAACAAATATGCAATCATGCTATCAATGTGGATTTATGGCACCCCAAATGAATTCTAACATTTTCTAATGATTTCCGACTTGCCATACCAGAGTTACAAGCACCTTAATCTTCATTAGTTTTTCTTGGTTTGGCTTGTCGCTTAGTAAATTGGAACCTTCAATGAGTTAAATATCAAAGAGCACCATCACCTGGTGGATCTCTCTCTCTCTCTCTCTCTCGCTTATTTTGTTAGGGGAGCCATATGTTTCTTAATGTATAAATTAAGTAGAGAGACATTTCTGCATAAATAGATGTATATGTGTTTGCCTTTGAATATATATGTGAAATGCTAACTTTCCTTCAGTAGGTGATATTAGCAACATCCTTATAAATGCCTCGAGTTAGAATCTAATCATATGGCCAAATATCTGTATAGAACATCATTTATGACACATTTTTTGATAAACAAAGAAAACTTTATTGATGAAAGGAAGAGACATCTCATACAATCAACAATAAAGAGGGGAAAACTACAAGCATCATAGCTAAAATAAGCAATCCCAACTAGGTTGGTACCGCAAATCTAGTACAATCATATGCAAGCGAACCCCAGGTTGATGAGAAACCAACCAAAGCACAAACAAGAGAGCAAAAAACAGAACACAGAGACCACCCACACCCACTGAAACAAGAACCAAAAACAGCAGTACACCATCCACCACCACTTCAATCAAGCTTTGATCCTATCAAGGTTATTGACAATGTCCTCCACTGAATACTGCAAACCTCTAGAACTTTGCTTACTCCATTGTGCTACCCTTATTTTCACCAACTCAGCTAATTTGAGCCCATCAACAATCTTTTCGTGAAAAAGGTACTCATTCCTAGCCTTCCAAACTGACCACATAACAGCTAGGGGAACATTTTTCCACATTGGTTGAACTGCCTTTTTGAACTTAAAACCTGCCCACCAACGCAATAATACCTCAACTGATCCCGGCAACACCCAAACCAAATCCTACCACTGCAACATATCTGTCCACAGTTTCCATACCACAGGACAGGACAGGACAGTAAAACATGGTTAACTGTCTCCTCCTCTGCTTTGCACAGTAAACACATCGAACTAACTTCCATATTCAACACTCTTATCCTCCTCAAAAAAGTAGAAGTTTTAAGGCTTCCTTTCCAAGCTAACCAGCCACAGAATTTCACCTTGGGTGGGGCAATGTTTTGCCACAGCATATCAGCAACTCTTACAACAGGAGCTTTCAATAACATCCACCACTTCCATGCTGAAGCTACAGAGTATGAACCTGATGGATTGGCCAACCATAAACATGAATCCTCAGATTCTACTGAGAGTATAGGTTCATCCCTAAGTACCTCGTGCAGCCTTACAATCTCCTCCTCCTCCCAAGCTAACAGAGTTCTTCTAAAAGGAAAATTCCAATCAGGTACTGAACCTCTTCTGTGATACAACTGCAGAATTGTGCTACCCTTCTCCTCGGATAAGCTGTGTAACCTAGGAAATTCCTCCTTCAAACACAGATTATTTAACCACTTATCCTCCCAGAATTGGAGTCTTTGCCCATTACCTGCGACTAGCTTAAAATTTGATAAATAATAACCAACCAACTCAGGACTATGTGTACCAAGCTGGACTATATCTGCCCACAATCTGGACACTGAACTGGACTCTAGTACAGTAGGTACCCAATTTCCTCCAGCCTCACCATACTTGCACCTCAACATTTGTTTCCATAAAGCTTTGTCCTCCACTCCAAACCTCCACCACCATTTAAGCAAGAGGCAAGCATTTATTTCTCTCAACTTTCTAACCCCCAGACCCCCATGCGATCTGTCTACTGCTATGTCCTCCCATTTCACCATATGAACTTTCCTCTTAAGTTCAGAGTTACTCCACAAGAATGCTGCCTGAATCTTCTCGATCTGCTTAGCCACTCCCACGAGTATTTTAAAAATTGATAGAAAGTAGGATGAGAAACTAGAGAGGACTGACCTAATCAAAGTTAATTGACCAGCGAAAGACAGGACTTTCCTGTTCCATGCATCTAATTTCTTTTTCACCTTCTCAATAACTGGTTGCCAAGTGCTTTTCCTGCTGGGATTAGCCCCAAGAGGTAGACCCAGATAATTGATAGGGAGCTTTTTGCTGTGGCAGTGAAGAATTGAGGCAAATTGATTAACCTCCATATCAGTTACACCAACCCCACACATCAAATTTTTGTGGAAATTGATCTTTAATCTGGACAACACCTTAAAACAATGCAAAGTTCTCTTAATGTGCACCAGTTCCCCCCTCTCTGCCTCACGGAATATAATGGTGTCATCTGCAAATTGCAAATGAGAGAATTTCAACTCATTAGGCCCCACACATGCACCTTTTATCAGCCCCTTCTCCTTTGCTCTTTCAATCAATAGATTCAAACCTTCAGCAACAATGTTGAACAGAAATGGAAATAATGGATCTCCCTGCCTAAACCCTCTCTGAGGACTGAATTCTGCTGTTGGAGAGCAGCAGGACAGAAACTTTAGTTGATGATAGGCATGTTTTTATCCAACCCACCCATTTATCCCCAAAACCAAAATTCTTCATCATTGAGAAAAGGAACTCCCAATTAATTGAATTGTATGCCTTTTCAAAATCCAACTCGAGTATAATACCTTTCTCTAGCCAAGAATGTATAGGGTTTTGCAGTCAGCAAACATACATAGAGTAGGTGTTTCATTAGTGTTTGGATATATGCTTTCTTTGTTGATCACCACACCAAATGTACATGCACAAAACGGTATAATTTCTGAAATGTAATACAACTAATAGACATTGTTTTCTGTCAAACTACTTGAACTGAATATGATATGCAGCAGCGTGTAGAACATTTGGATATGCATGATCGTATAGATAGGTTTTTAAATTAGCAATTTAATTCTCTTGAACATGTAGATTAGTTAATTCTTGGGCCACTGAAATAAATTGATGGTCTAATGTATAAGTGGGCGTAAATATTTATTTTCTTGAATATGTTAAAAATTAATTAAGAATTAGCTACGGGACTGTTTAAAGATTTCTTGTTATGATTTTTCACTTCTACCCTGTGAACCTGTAGTGCAGTGACAAGCTTGGCCTTAGTCTCAAGTTGGATTCATTTGTGGCTGGAGTTATGATATCAACCACCGATTTTGCGCAGCATACTTTAGACCAGGTAAACTTCTTGGCAAATGTTTGCGGCAGTTGTCCTTCATGTTAAGATATCTAGCATGTTAAGGTAATTTGAACTTCTTCTTGGCTGAAATTTTATTCAACTTAATACTAGCAAAAAATTGCTAGAAAAAACCTAAAATCAATGAAATGGAGAGAGAGAGAGAGACAGAGAGAGAAGGGACCGAGATGTAGAAAGATAAGGAAACCCTAGGTTTTGATACAAGATGATAATGAGATCCATCCATGACAATGTGTAGGGCAATCGAACAAAAACGTGAACTACTTATTGTGTTCTTCATAGATCTACAATATATATGTATATATAGGCCGAGAAAGAAAGAGAGAGAGATAGAGAGACTCACCAAATCTGCAGAAAATTTGAAGAAGAAGATAGATGTATTGTGGATTGAAGCTTGTAGATCTCAAATCTGAGTTGGAATGAAGATATGCAATAGAGAGAGGGAAAATCTGCGATGGAGCTCGAGATAGAGAGAAGTTTCTTCGATGATGAGAGAGCGATCCATCGAGCATCGTATTTGCAAAACTGAAAAAACAGATGTGTATTTGCATCTGGGGGAGATTTGTAATTTTCCATTATTTGGTCCCTAAATGCCAATAATGTATTCTCAACCAGATTTATTGGTCTAAAAAAGTGACGTAAATATTGCCCAAGTGCAAAAGCTAGAATATCAATAGTCATTTTTGAAAGTAATTTATCATAAGTTTAAATTTGTCCCTATGTCATTATTTTTAAAGACCAAATTTAATTAGTCTCTAAATATTAGTCTCTAAAACATTAATTTCTTGTAGTGTAACCTCTCTATCAAACCCTTTTGGGATGGGGATGAGAGGCGGCCCATAATGAGGGTGGTATCTTGGGTTTGTCTTTTGGTGGGTTTGAACTAATCCTGCTCCTCACTTCATTGCTTATAAATTAAACTTGGGTTTTAACATTTACAACTGACTTTCCACCTCACAACTAACATTTCCTAAGGCAAAAATGTGGAATCATTACATTTATATGAATAATGGAGGTGGAAAAAGTAACTGTAGCCTTAAGGTAAATGCATTTGTGTGCAGCCAAGGGCCCAAAGTTCGTTTGGGTGGTCCTGCTCTCCCGCTCTCAATTCTCAATTTGCAAATAGGGCTTGGAGCCATGGTAAATTTGTGGATTCCACTCAACAAATATGCAATCATGCTATCAATGTGGATTTATGGCACCCCAAATGAATTCTAACATTTTCTAATGATTTCCGACTTGCCATACCAGAGTTACAAGCACCTTAATCTTCATTAGTTTTTCTTGGTTTGGCTTGTCGCTTAGTAAATTGGAACCTTCAATGAGTTAATTATCAAAGAGCACCATCACCTGGTGGATCTCTCTCTCTCTTTCTCTCTCGCTTATTTTGTTAGGGGAGCCATATGTTTCTTAATGTATAAATTAAGTAGAGAGACATTTCTGCATAAATAGATGTATATGTGTTTGCCTTTGAATATATATGTGAAATGCTAACTTTCCTTCAGTAGGTGATATTAGCAACATCCTTATAAATGCCTCGAGTTAGAATCTAATCATATGAAAAAAAAAAAAAAAAAAAAAAAAACTGTTTGAACTTCACTAATGATTGTTGCCAGGACCCTCTTCAACCTTTTAGACAGCACTTTAGCTAAAATTTTACATGTTTAATTGACTAGGCTAATTGGCCTATAATCACTTAACTCACAGGGGTTCTCCCTCTTAGGTATTAGGGTGATAAAAGAACTATTTAGACCCGAGACCAGCTTCCCATTGGAGTGAAACTCATACAGGAATTGTAATATTTCTCCCTTCATTACCTGCCAACATTTCTGAATGCCATCCGGTCCAGGAGCCTTGTTACCATCGCACTCTTGTAAAGCAGCCCAAATCTCCTGCTCTGAAAATTATGCTTCTAGGCTTTCAACCTGCACAGGAGAAATTATGGATGCAAAAGGGCCAAGAAGCTTTGGCCTAGAACACCAAGTTTCAGCAAATAATCTCTCATAGTTCCTATGAACTGATTGCTTCACTCTAACTAGCTCCACCAACCTGACCCCATCTTCCACAACTGAATCAAGTAAATTTCTCCTTTATCTTGAACTTGCCAACATGTGAAATAACCTTGTATTCTTATCCCTACACTTAGCCCACACCATTCTAGATTTTTGATGCCATAAACTCTCCTTGTACTCGGATTCCAAACCTGCCCTCTAACTTCTCTCCTTCTACTTACTTCTAATTTTGACAATGATCTTTCTTCTGCCACCAAATCCAGTGCATGTAAATCCTCCTCTGCTTGCTTTAGTTGAGTTTCCACATGGCCAAACACCTCTGAATTCCATCTTTTGAGGTTGACTCTGAGTGTTGCTAGCTTCCTCATCAATCTGAACCGAGCCCAACCTGGTTGAACTTCTTCATCCCCTGAGCTCTTCACCACTGTTTTGAAAGTAGGATGAAGTAACCAAGCATTAATAAACCTGAAAGCTTTTGGTCCCCAATTCCGCTCATCCTCCATTAATAGGACTGGACAGTGATCAGAAATTGTTCTAGGCAGACCCCATTGCTTGAAAGAGAACTCAAGCCAACTACTCTCCAAAAGGAATCTATCTATCCTGCTCCATCTCTCCCCATCTTGTACATTGCACCACGTAAAACTTCTACCCCTCATTGGCAAATCAACTAGACTCAACTGATCTACCAACTCATTAGAATCATTCATGCCTCTCTCCCTTCTTGAGCAACCCTTCCTTTCACTGAGAAATCTAATTTCATTAAAATCTCCGCCCATGCACCATGGATTAGGGTAGGAAATTTTCATTCTCTTCAATAATTCCCACAGCTGCCTTCTCTTACAAACATCATTTGGAGCATAAAGATTCACCACAGAGCAATCAAAAGATAGACCAACAGTACCTGATAGAATGATAAAGTTTCTTGAGCCATAGCAATCAACAAGCTTAAATCTCTCAGGGTTCCAAATACACAATAAGCCCCCAGCACTACCATCAGCATCTACATCCACATACTCCATTTTATCAAATGGCCAAATAGATTTAATAAACATTTCCTCCCAAGTTGCTTCGCTTTGATTCTTGAAATAACATCACATCCACTCCTTTTTCTTTTAACATGTGCTTAATTTTGCTCCTTTTCTGTGGTCTACATAGACCACGAACATTCCATGACATTATCTTCATAAAGGAATCTATATAACACCTATACGCCTCCACTGATGATTCAGATGTCAGCTACCTGTGCACCAACAGCAATCCTCTCCAAATCCCTGTCTTCCAGCTGGACTATCTGATCTAGCACAACATCCTCCTTCCCACCAAAATCAATATCTAGTGATTTCCCCAGTTGGATTGTTGCTTTAGCCTCCTTAATTAGCCTACCCCGCCTTTTGCTCGATTCACTATTAAATGATTGTGAATTTGAAATTGCAACAGCAGCTGCTCTGAATATGCACCCCTATTGAAGCTTTTAGGTAGTATTCTGCCTTTCTGAAAAGGCTTGCCACACCTTTTTGCTGCTACTCTTCTCCTTTGGGCGTATACTCCCTTGCTGTGAAAGACACTTTCCTCTCTACCCTTAGCTGTTCTACCCTCCCCATCCTTCAAAACTACTTGGGCTCCATCTTCAATAAACTGTGACTGGGCCACACAGTCACTCAAATTTGATAATGAAAGCCAACTGGCCTAACAGGACAATCTTCAACTTGGGTTCTATGAAGCACTACTTTCATAAAGGAATCCATATAACACCTATACGCCTCCACTGATGATTCAGATGTCAGCTACCTGTGCACCAACAGCAATCCTCTCCAAATCCCTGTCTTCCAGCTGGACTATCTGATCTAGCACAACATCCTCCTTCCCACCAAAATCAATACCTAGTGATTTCCCCAGATGTCAGCTACCTCTTCAACTTGGGTTCTATGAAGCACTACTTCTAAATTAATGTTCGGCCTAACAAGTTTTGGCCAACTCAAACTCTTTATGAACCCATCCGTGTGTATACTGCCATCTAAACATTGGGGCTGCTCAGCCATCTTTTTTGAAAATTTGTCTACACTCTTCAGAACACCATCATGATCATAGCCCCCAACTGTTGAGTTCCCTAAGCCATCATCTGACTTTCTCACTGTGGATTCAACCACCCTTCTGACCCTGTCTTCCATTACGTGTAAACTACCCTCCACTGTGTCTTTCACTATGCTTGCCACCTCATTAGAGAATGCCACATCAGCCCTGCTGTCATCTTCCTTTCCTGCCTCCACCCTACCATCTTTGGCACCTGAATTCATGTCAACCTCATTGCTGGAGATGGAGAAAAGGCCGTCATTATATTGGTAACTGCACTCTCCAGATCTTAACCATGCTGGTGAAAGTAATTCTTCAACCACCCTTACAGGATATTGCTTCCCATTACATTCTAACCAGATCACTTGATTGATAAACTCTCTACTACTAGTAATAATCCTTACTTTACCACACGGAAATGACTTTGCATTACTTGTATCTTTATCGTGTTGGATAACTTCTCCCCAAATAGTACCAATCTCCTTGAAGGTTCTAGTATTCTAAAGATTGACAGGAATACCATAACATGCCAGCCACACACACCTTTCTTGTTCAATAACTTTTCCTTTCTCCCACTCTTCTATTGATACACACTACTCATATATCCATTCCTCTAGTCTACCCTTCCATTCCTTCAGATGTTCCACTGACTTGAAAGATAGTAGTGCCATACGGCCACCACCATTGTTTATGCTCACCTCCTTTAGACCTCATTTGCAGCATTCTTCTTTGAAGGCATTAAGACAAAAGAAAGATCTGAGCTTTATCACTAAACTTTCATAAAGCCATCCAGTTCTAACTTCCTGTGCTCTTATAGTTATCGGAGGATTCTCCTTTCTTATACCTTGGACTACATTAGCATAAGATCTCTGGCCAGTGCCCCCATTTGTAAGCTTGCCGTACATCCTTTGTTCCATTTGTTCAATCTTGCCTTTTTGACCTCTTCCTTCTTCAGATATTGAGCGCCATTTCCAAACTCTGCTCTTCTCACCTTCAGACTCCTGTCATCACACCAAATTCCATCTGCTTTTTGAACTGCTACCTTTGCTACTATTTGACAATCATATCTAACAAACCCAAATAGTGATCCAGTGGCTTTCCTCCTTTTGTTCGGAATAAAAACGTCCTTCACCACACGATAACTGCTAAATAGAGTGAAAAGACTTTTTGGCACCATAGATTCTGGGAGGTTGTCCACAAAGACCGTGATCAATCCTGGTACCCTGTGATGAATCTGATGATAGCTTGGCTTTCGTTTCCTTGTCATCGGTGTCTACCCTCCTCCTTCCATTCTCTTTCTCTTGGATGATGAATTATTGTGATGTACAATTCAAATATGACACATTTGTCATTTGGATACAGTTCAAACATTCATGAATTTGGAGGGAACCTAAAATTGTTTATCTAGTTTGGTGATGTAGAGTGCTTCATGGCTTGGATAGTGCTATTGTTTTCTTACGCATCAGTTTTCTTGTTAGTTAAGTGAAAAAATTATTTAGTTTGCAATTTTATTGCATGGTCGAGCTAATATTACCAATTTTGAGCAAATAGTGTACACCTCTTGCCTCCTCTGTCGCTATGTTTACCTCATGTTTACATGTTTTGAATATACATAAATATATGTATATATGCACGCACACACACACACACACACACACATATATATATATATATATAGAGAGAGAGAGAGAGAGAGAGAGAGAAGGAGAGACTAAAGGTAGGCCTTGGCTTATGTTTTTCATGTAGCATTCAAACCAATGACTATGTAATTAGATTGATACTTTGACATATTATTGGTATGTTTAGTACAAAGCAAGTTTTTTTTTTTGTCATTCCATTTACACAAGTAGAATTGCCAGTAATTTAACTCGTTGAAAACTTTTGTCACAAGAAATTGATTGTTGTTGCAAGAGAATTGAACGAGAAAGAGAGGTTAAGTTACTTTCAATGATTTTGTTTCCTTTGAATATCTCTAGTTCTTTTTGTAATTGTAACCACTTCATACCAAACGATGTAACTCCAGAAAATTTATGTATTAGTTATGTACTTGTGCTTCAGTTTTTGTATTCTAAATGTTTAATGTCTTTGGAATTTTTTTACCTACTATTTGTGGTTTTCTGGTTATTAGATTCTTTATGAATAAACAATAGATAACGGTTCTCTTTGTAGTTGTTACATGGCATTTATCCTAATCGTGAGAGTTAGTTGCAACTTTGTAGCATTTGACAAAATGGAGAAGCCCATTTGGAAAATGAAGCCTTAATCCTAAGACAACACTTCCCTACCCGCCTGTCAACTTACAGCATCCCTTCTTTGTTCCAAGTAGTAATAGATATTTGCATGTTTCGCAACTTCATTTCGCATTCAGAAAATAGCATGCATATTTATCATATGCCTTTGAGCATTTATACATAGACTTTTGTCCCGTTTTCTTGTTTAGTGCATCCTAATTCATAAGATGTAGCTGAAGCGTGAAGATTCACAACTTCCCATGCAATACTACTGTGATTTATATGTAATTGTTGCTTCCTTTGACTAAATGGTTCTATATGGAAGGTTCACAACTTTCCATGATTAGTCACATTCAATGAACTTGTTTTCTAACAAAGAATTTACATGTTTGCTTTAGTGTGTCTACATTAATTTTGAGACTAGCCACTCTTGTAATTGAGCAAGCATAACATGTACTAGCTTATCTGAATTACTACGCTCAGTAATCTTGTGACTAGGAGGAGCCTTTAAGAATAATAAAGTACCAAGTATATGTCTCACATTGTTAATTCTTAAGAACATTTATTTTCAACATTAATTCTACGGATTTATCATGCAAACAATAAGACACAAGTAAATATGATGATGAATACACTTGTCATTTTATTGTTGATCAAAAAATACACTTGTCATTTTATTAATTAAATGATAAGAAATTGTCCAAAATACATTTCTCTGATTAGCATTTTGGGTGCAACACTAATACTTGGTCCCTATTGGCTCGGTTAGAGGGGCCATCAACAGCGTAGGTATGATGGTCACTGTGTGTGGGTGGCTGCCATGAGCCAAATTGTGGTCAAAGGTTTCGGGGCTTATAGACAATTGGCTGCTTTAACTTCGTCACGCAGGTTACGAGTGGCCACACACAGACCGAAGAAATCAAGAAAGTGAAGGTTAACCAAGTGAGGTTTGTGCGGAGCCAAAATCTACACACAGCCTTCACCATTTGATCTTATGGAGTATGATCTTGAACATCCATAGCTTTTCCCAAAAAAGACGAACAAATGTAAGAAGTGCTTCTCCACTTTTCATGGTTTAACGAATGCGGTGGAGAGGAGTGAACCTGTCTTTAACATAAAAGAACTTGGGCATACCATTTCCTGACTATGTCCTACTATGAGTTGAGCATCCTAGAGAAGGTAGGTATATCAACCATAAGCTTTGTCAATAAGGGATTTGAAGTACTCCGTCAATTGGAGGTTGTGATCGGAGCCATGAACACCATTTAAATCAATGAAACAAGCTAAATGTTCAACAAATTTGGGGCAGTGTACCCATTGGATAGGGCACGTTTGCTATCTCAAGTGGATATGGTGGGTGGAGATCAAGATCTGGAATGTAAAAATTTTCTTCCGATTCCTAATATGCACGTTCATGTTTGTAAATGTATACAAACATGACTACCTCAAACACTAAATCCAATTCAATGCTAGATTTTTTGAGTTCACTCTAATGCAAAAGTCATTCAGTCACTTGACCTCCAAAAGTTTCCACATGGAGCAAATCTTGAACACAATCACTCTTGAACTCGCAAGTATTCTAGAGAGACAAAAAGAGGGAGAGACAATCAACTACAATACCCTTACGAAGAACTCTCTTATTTATAAACCTAGGGCAAGTTTGGATAATAGCCAAAAAGTCACTTAAAAAGTCAAAAAGCCAAAGAACTACACAAAAA